AAGTTTAAAGAACATAATATCTGTATTGAGTGCTTGCTGTGACAAACTTTCAACATGAAATTCCTCAATTTGGCAACTCACCACACTGCTATCAATATTGCTACTGGTCCCTTCTGATGAACTATGATACGCTTTGCGCTTAAGAATTACAGCAGACCCCATAATGTTATTCCTTCATCAGAAGAGCCTTTTTAAAAAGCTGTCTGTGAATTTTGTTAGATTTTAGTTTTCAAAAACACTGGACCTCATAAAAAATTCATAAGAATGTTAGTGGAAATTTTGCATGCATGTCTCATTATGTTGAGGTTTCACAACTGTAAATTAAAATAATGGTTAGAAAACTAAACACAAGCACTAGAATTTATATTGCCATTTTAATTAATACATTATCGATGACAGTTTATAAACTACATACATCTAGTGTATAAAAAAAAAAGGACTTAGAAGAAAAACTCACGACTTTGTTTTAAATTACTTTCCTTCAACTCAACATGTGTATGTTTTTATAAATTTAAACAATACATCACACACAGTAATTATTTAATTTCAATTTTGGATCTTGTGTTAAAACCATTCACAAAAGTCTGTGACATTATTACTCTCACAGATATTTGTTCAACTCATGACATGGTCTATTAACCCGCTGGTGGGTGTAATTTTACAACAGAGGTAAATGTCAACTGTACTAAAAAAAAAAAAAAACTAACATAAAAATTTTAATAAAGACGCTGAAAAAAAAAAAAACAACACAATATCTCCCCAGTCTGTCTTACAAGTAATTGGTCTGAGAGATGGATTAGCATTAATTCCTTGAACAAATTTTAATTCAAACTTCATTAGAATGAACACATCAGTGTTATACTAAATCATACAGTGGTGAATCCATAGGACACTTTATGTATAAAGAGTAAGTTTTATTATCTAAGTAAATAAATAAATTAGACAACAGTTTGGGTTGTGCTAGAGTGAAAAACAATGAAAGGTCCACAACAACCTATAAATGAGATACAATGAATATATGAAGATCATATATTTTGAACTGCGGTATTAGATATGTATGATGCATCAAATCCTCTAATATCAAATCCTCTTAGATACGTATGATGCATTATATGTATCTAATACCGCAGTTCAAAATATATGATATTCATATATTCATTGTATCTCATTTATCACTTTCACAGGTTTATTATGAATCAACTTAACGGCCTGCTCCCAGTTGGCTTGTTAGCTCAATTGGTAGAGCGCTGCACTAGTATCGCAGAGGTCAGTGGTTCGAATCCCATACAGGCCTGATTTTTTTTTCAGGTCTGATTTTCACTATTGCTTAAATAGCCCTATCTACTGCGAGGATCGTGCATCATACGTACAACCTATAAAGTTATCTAACATTTTTAATTATAATTAATCAAAAGCTACCAGTCAAATTGGAATCATATATCAATCGATGGATAGAAAAAGTAGAAATTGTAGATATTTCATTCCACTTTAACAATAATGATCAAAACTTTTGAATATCGTTGAAGGCTTGTGTTGAGCATGTTTCTATTTATAACTGTGGAGGTTTATAATTACAATAACGGAGAACCGATTGACATTCATTATTGCAGTTGCTTAGTAACCAGCCCAGGATCATTATCTACTAAAAACAATACTGGCCTTCAATATCAATGATAATAATACTTCCACGGCAATCATGATGAATTTTAAACCAGTTAAAGCACAAAGGATTAATAAGAATACTAAAAAAGGATAAGTTAAAGTCAAAACAAAGACTTATTTTAGAGGCTATCATTCAAGGAAGAGACCAACAGTTCAAATTATTTCCAAACTGTCAAAGCATGTGCGTAAATAAATTATAAATAATTGGTTTCCTAGGTTTTAAAAACTTTAAGGCTGTGACCAATCGCTAAGAGTAACAATATTTTTTTGCCAGTTGAAAGTTTATGTTAATGATTTTCAGACCATGACAACAACGAAAAAAGGAATTCTTAATCTAAGAAACATTTAATTCTAACATGTAGGTCTTCTAACCATATCTCAGTTAACAGTAGTTCTGAGATTATACTTTAATATTTTCCGTATCAGTGAGAAAAAATGTCGAACATTTAGAAAGCGTTGTTAATTTACGAAACAAAATACTATAACTAACCTTGAGCTAGTTGTTTTTCACAGGAATAAAACTAAACTCCTTTGGTTTGTTCTCAGCAAGAAATTATCGTAGCTCTTTTTTTCAGACTGTATACATTAAATCAAGTTAACATTTTTCAACCAAGATATAGTTTCACTGTTTCATTCAATAATCCGTGCCTTTTCTTACCTGAAGAAAAAAAATGCTGTCCAATAAAATAAATAATTTAACTAGTAGCAGGTGAGACAAAGATTCGAATTTCAAATAACTATTTGTTGTTAATGAAACGAAGCATGAAGTGCTAATGACGGCCCGTCACACGAAATTATGTAAACATGCATATGCGCGCAGCTAAAATAAAAATTATCTTTTCCCCAATTGTAGTGGTACAACCGTGGATGGTGAGAAAAAGAGGCATGGAATTGTTTGATAATCAGTTTTACAACCTTCCTTTGCACATTCGAATCCGTGCCCTAGTTTTATCACCAAAATTACGACGTTATGTCTAATAGGAACTGATGCGTTTTTGCGCAAGAGAAATTGCTATTGTCAAATCTGAATTTATCCCATTTTTCGATGACCAGTATCAGATTTCCGATGATAAACAATGAGGATTAATTGTCAGTAATTTGTTGTAATTTTAAGGCCGATGTTACGATTTTCAATCGGTTTAAACCTTCGTGTTATAATTGATTTGTGATGAGTTACAGTTTTTCATACAGTCTATCGTCGAGTGTTTTCCTTAAATCGACACGGCTGGACATCGTGTATTACACACGTGTTATTAAATTCATCCGGCCGAATTACGTATATTAAATATCGTCTAAGAATCTGCATTCAACTCCAAAACTTAAGGCAATGCTAACCTTCCAAATAATTGCGTAAAAAATATATAGTGCGAACAAGACAAGATTAGGGACTTCATCCAGGCTCAAAATCGCTAGGACTGCAGACACTACAGAAACTTGGAAAGCTGAAATTGTAGCTGTCAAAGTTTATTACCTGTGTGAGGTTTATGGATTTCTTCGATCCTGTTTGCTTCAAGAAAGGAAGTAGATGCTGTTTTCTGTCTTTTGAACGCTCTTCTTTCCCCATCGATAGCCTGAAGAGAAATAAAACACCCTGTCATCGTCTCAAGTACAACGCTTCCACTTTTCAATAATAAGTCGTATCTCGTCACTCACGGTGCCTAATGTGTAAACAAAGACCACACGAACCTAAAATATTTACTCAACAACAACAGCTTGAAATGAAAATAATATTCAGCCAAACAAAGCAGAAGTTACAATATGGGAACTGCTTACTTTCTCTCAGAAGGAAGGCCACTCATTCTTCCATCTTCGATATGTACTTTCTTCGAGCTTTACGAGGCACCAAAGCGTGCAAAAGCAACTGTAAAATTTTCCTCTGTAGGCACGTGGAGACTTCATAAAGCATCAGCCAGTTCCTTTCAATGGTATCCCTTAGCTTACGATTCAGAATGAAGAGTTCTGCTTGAATATACCCCGATCAACTAGCGATTTTTTCGAAGCGCACGTTAAAAACCCGCGCGTGCCGGACACTCTCTGTCACCTCAGTTGTCAAATATCACCTTGACAACAAAGAAATGAAGAGCCACGCGCTCTCAAGCAGCGAGTAAATCACTTTTCTCTTCAATCAGACACCTTAATCCCTGAAAACGTTTGCACAATTTTATTACCGTTTGCGCAAACATTTCAAGGCTACAAAAGCAAATACAGCTATTGAAAACACCTCCTTTAAAAAGCCATTTGTGAACGCTTTGGTTCGCAAAATAGACAAGAGCAAAGAGTTCTCCTAAGTGTTGTTGACATAGAGGTGTGAAAAAAATATTTATATGTAAATTAAATTCATCCTCTGACTTTCTTTTCTAATCAACACAGGAAGGTTGTACCGTTGGCACGAAAATCAAGGGAGTTAAAACGGGCTCTAAACTAAAGTTGAATACATATAACAGCATAAATGCGAGGTTAAACGAACGTGTGAAGGAGAAAATAAACTATATTTTGTCGACCTTTACTGGGGTTTTCGCTGGTCTTACCGCTGAACTTCGAAGGGAACTAATTCATGACGTTACCCCGACCAGCTGGAGCGATAAACTTTGATTGACAACCGTTCGCTATTCCTTCTGGCAGCGATCATACGAAGCAGTTCAAATGTGAGCATATTAAACTTGATTAAGGGAAGAAAAAAATAATGTCACTGATACTAAGATTGGAGCGAATTATAACTGCGAAATGTACTAGCGTATTGCCTTTGATTGCGGGAAAGAAATGATACGAAAAAAGAAAACAAACAAACAAACACAAAAACTGAAATTATCAAAAAACAAATCGCTACCAAAATTCCTCACCTTACAAACTCCCAGGAGTGTGGGTGGGGTGGGTAAGAATACACTTTTTGCATGTGGTTTTGCCGTTACTTTTAAAAGAAATTGAAGGTTCGAGGGTGTAATAGAATCTAGAGAAATATCTCTTTTTGAGTACAGTGTACAGTAACTCGACATTTTTCTTTACCGTGTAGTACAATTTAAATATATCGCAAAATTTTCATGCTAAACGCTAACATCCCTATCACAAATGTTAGAGACAAGCACTAGTGTTTTCATATTTGGTAACGAATAAGAGTAAAGCAGTGACTACAAATTTACACATATCACCGTCTAAATAAGTATATATTTATAAATCCAGGCTGCCTATTTCCAACATCAGACCTCAAACCCTGGTACAATGTAGTTGATAGAGCTTAAAGAACTGATTGATAACCTCAAAGCGAGAAGAATGTTCGTTAACGAGTCATTCAACGTGGGTTGTACAAGACGCATACAGTAAAGGCTTTAGAAAAATTATCGATGGCTTTTGAGAGGCAATTTTTCCTCAAAGATTTCTCTCAGACGGTTCATTGTAATCCATGCCAATAATTTCAAATATCTCTTCTTCGCTTGAAACTGGAATCGGTTCGCCCGGTACACCTAAACGGCAATGACAAACTTTGAGTGGGAATTGTTTCATTTTAATGTTGCCAAAGTATAGTACAAGGCGACTTCAACACGCAGGTGTCGATACCTTTAGCACTGTACGCGGGCACTGAACCGGCACTGCTGTATTGGGTTACCTATGTGTGAACACAGCAACATTTTGTGCCGATGCCCTGGCTCTAACGCTCGGCCGCTAAGTGTGAACACAGTCTAAGTATTTTTAAAGTCTCGCTCGATGACCCCAGCCCAGGAGTCCAACCAGAACATTTCGAATCGGAGCAAGGCAAGCTTACCGCCACGAGTCGCGTCTCTGTCGCGCCTCAAAATTTGATCTCTACCAGATGCTCAAAGCAATAATAGTACATCTTGTGACACCAGCCACCACAGCAAAGACTAACACCGAAGGATCGTAAGAATTGCCGGTAGGGTGGTAGCACGGTTCCGCTTTTGATCGCGGACGGGCACTCGTTCTTAAGCGAAACACGGTTGTCAAGGTTACTCTTATCATTACTCTTCTTAAAACCACCACACAAAAAAAGACAGCAACTTACCTGTACTTCCCAGTGGCCTGGAATGGAAGAAAAAATGGATCCTTTGAATAGCCTACGTGTAGCCGTACCCTCCCCCCAAGGAGAAACGGGAGGGAACGGTTTGTTTCTCCTCGGGGGGGGAGGGTAAGGCTACACGTAGGCTACCCTTTGAACAACGTACATGATGCGATACGGGGTAAAATACAAGAATAAAGTGTCATTGTTTTTCTTGCAATAGAAGTTACTTGTCACCTACGCGATCTGCTTCATTTTACTGCCTGCTTCAAAAAACACTTTCGTCATGTATCTGTTAAAACGATATCATGAGAAACTAACCTTATAGAATATTCATTTAGAGTGAAACCTTTCTCTAGCGCTTCGTGTCGCATTCTTCTGTTAAATTCGTCACTGCCAGTGAAGTACAAAATCCCACAGAAGTACTGATCATTAGGGATTAACCTGTTATAGTTAATAAATGTATTTATCATGGGTAACGTAACCCTTTCTTTGGGGTGTTGCATAGTATGTTGTTATAATTGCTTCATTAGCGGTAGGCTATAAATTCGAGCTGTTGTCATTTATATTCATTCGCGTCTTATGACCGTCCCTACGCCCTCAAAAGTAAACACCCAGTGACTAGAGATTGTCAGTTTCTCTTAGAAGTAGGTTTTTGCATATACGAACATAGTTTAGATTGTTTTGTAGGGTAGTTTTTCTTGCTTTATTTTTTACATTTCCGAGTTTTCATTCCGTTGAAAATTTTGTTAATTTAATTAATTTAGTTTTGTTAATGAAGGTATAATAAAGAGGGTCGCATACGGCTCGTGTTGACACACCCCAATTAAGGTTACTTAATAACTGTTTTATATTCGTTTGAGTGGGGTATGAATTTTTTTCAGGCCTCATTTCCACAACTACATAAGTAGGGTTCATTACTGCGAGTATAGCCTTCATACAAAACTAAATGTTGATTTTTTGAAAGGTACCAAGAACGCTTTATCCAGAAACTGAAATTTCTTTTTTTTATACTAACGACCTATGTTAGTTTTAATTGGACACTATGTGACGACTTAGATATATTTAGCCGCTGACCTCATTGACTGTTTTTCCTTTTTTCTTTGTTGTTGAGTTTGAGGAGTTTGAGGAGTTTGATGAGAAAAGCACATGGCACGTTTGTATTTTGTTTTCCCTTAGTTTATTTACTTTTTCCGTTATCTGGGTACGGAAAACTTTGAATCGTTCTTTTGTTCATTGGATAAATTGTTTGTTAGTTAATTATTTGTTAGTTTGAATGAAACAACGATACAATTCAACGCATGTCAAGAGTTTGGTTGTCCTTGATAACCGAGTAGAGACATTGGGTCTCTACAACCTATGTAATTTCGATGTTCCCTGATAGGAAATCTTAATTATCATCTTCTTCTCGTGCGAGTAAATTTCTTTACGCCTATATAAATCTTATTGAAAATCCTGAGACAGACGTTTCCCTACCTGATATCGATCCTTCTATGTAATGGTTCTTCTGATTTCGGTAGAATACAGACCCCCTATCAAAGTAATGGTTCATCAGTGAAAATGGTCTACCGAGGTAAAGGGGATAAGTTGCTAAGGAAACTGTGGTGCTGCGTCGGTGGGAGTAACGAGGTCACTTTGGTTTTATCAACTGAGTTGATAAAGTAAATTGGCCACCGTAGAGTTTCAAAGCTGACGTTTCGAGCGTTGGCCCTTCGTCAGAGCGAACGTGGAAGAGCTCTGACGAAGTGCTAACGCTCGAAATGTCAGCTTTAAAACTCTTTAGGGTGACCCGCCAATTAACATTATTTTCCAAGGTAAGTTCTTCCGTCGAAGGGTTTATCGTAAAGTGCAGATTTGTTGAACAATCAGTAATCAACTAAAGAAAGTGGAGTTTTTGAAGGGGTGAAGGGCTGGAAGGTACAAAGACACCTAAGCATAAAGGCACAAAAGGCTTGAAGGCTCGAAGAAACGAAGGGATTGGACGACGAATCGGGGAATTGACGAAGGCACCACCAATAGGCGAAGGCACGAAAGCATCGAGGCACTAACAACTGATGAACGGCCAGAAAAACAGAGAAAAGAAAGAAGAAAGGAATGGAAACAAAAATGAACGGGGAGAAAAGAGATTAAAGAAAAACAGGAAGAGGTAACGAAGGGCTTTGGATGGACTCTATTAAAAATTCATCATTTATATAAGATTGATTGCGGATGATTGCTCAAGGGGCAATAACATCAAAGTTAAGAAAGATGTTTTGAACTCAGTAGAGAAATAGAGAAAGATGCTTTTCGTCTTGTCATGAGTGTGGGACAAAGGAAAAATTCTGAATCCCCAAAACTTACCATCTTTCTTAATCTACTTTCAAAACATGACGCTATCGACATTACCGATCCTAACAGTATGCAGAATGCGTGTCACACAGGAACTTCGTAATGGGCCTTACTCATACTGAAGCGCAGAATCCGAAGATCTGAGCTTTGATTCCTCATGGGGACTCAGAATTTCTTCTTTGTCCCCACGCTCGTGACAAGACGAAAAACATCTTTCTCTATTTTTCTTAACCGAGCTCAAAACTCGCCACCTTTCTTAATCTACTTACAAAAAACTCGATTTTGTTTGATACAATACACGTAGAGTGAAATCCCTACCATAAACTTAGTATCACCGAGGGATATTGAATCCGTCACAAACCCTGCTTTTGTCAGCGTGTCAACAATACCACGCATAAGAGCCTTCTACAATCGGAAAATTAAGAAAACACATTAATTTCATGATGCACATAAAGAAAGTTAAGTCTGTTACTGAGAATCAAAATTATAATGGAACTCTGAAATGGGAGAATTGTTGGCGCAGTGGCCAAGGTTAGATCCAAACTTGGCGTTAAATACGGACCACTATGAGTTCGAAGGAGAATTATGGTTCAGAAACCACATAATTTTCATGGCTGCTAAGAAAAAGTATGTGAGAAATTGACAATGATAACATGTGCAACCCAATCTTTCTAAAATTGACTTAATAATTCCAATTCGATGTAGAATCATCGGGCGAAGAACCACTTCGTTCGAAGATGTGCAACTACGATATTCTACAGTTTGGTTACGGTGTCGCATATAAGGTTACACCAGTCATATTTCGAACCAAAAAGGAGACGCTCCCTTCACTATAGAAATCTCTCACCTTGTCAAAGTCAGTATCTGTAGACACAAACGAAGGGTGTGTCACTAATACGTCAATGTCGCCACTAGAAGAAGCACCTGAAATTGCAAATTAGAAAATAGGAGAGCTTGGTTGCTCCAGTGAAGTAGCAAACGGGTTTGTTTTGAGATCACCAATTCCTTTGAGGGCCAAAAACCAAATGAAATTGCGCAGATTTTTCCTCGCTTCGCTCCAGGTCAGCTGAAATAGGCAACTTGTAACCACCCTGTCAACAATTAAGGAGCAAAACTAAAGTCAAACGATTCTTGGTTATTCACGTGTTCCTGCTCTTAATAGAGAGATGTTTAGCACCGTGTTTACGTGAGACGTAAACGGCAAGAGTTACCACGTGGATTTGCTTTTTCCCGCCACTTTTTCACGTTTGCCGGTTGCGCTTTGCCGTTTCTACGCGAAAGTAACCTGTTTCGCTTTTGCAGTATACCTGAGATTTTCTTCACTTTTTATCTCACAGAATAGAAGTTAATCGCTGGGAAAAGGACCCTAAAACTATTCCTTGTAAGTCATACAAGAGGGTCTTCTGTATTTTTTACGTGAAGCGTGATTGAGCCATTTTTTTTTCTCGTGAATCGTGATTTGACTTTTTCTTTATTCGTGAATCACGATTTAAGATGATAAGATCTTTTCATGTCCACGTGAACGAATTTTTTCTCTTAAACGAGACCCGTGAATTAATAAACGTGATTCGTAAACTATTTTGCTTTGCGTGATGAATTTCCGACTATTTTATTGTCATGAAAATGAACGTATTGTTCTCGAACGGCCGTGGTTAGGGTTTTGACAGGAGATGTGGATCGATACAAGTCAGAAAACAGACCATTAATGGTTCTTGAACAAATAAGGCAAGACATCACATCCTCTTTTGTCGCGTGAGACTGCTCAAGACTGCAAAAAAATATATCAATTCAACGTGATTGTCTTTAATTTCGCGTGAACGTGAATGAGTTGTGGATATTATTCGTGATGCGTGAAAAAGGCCAAATACTTTTTACGTAACTTAGTTTAACAGAGGGGTATATAGGGGACCCTCATACAAGGGCGCCTTAAATTCCACCATGAAGTGAGCTCAAACAAAGTTAAAGCACCAAGGTTCGCGCTATTTTACGTGAAACGTGAAAGGACAAGCTGACGTTTGCTCTTTCACGTAAACACAGTGCTAGATCTCTCTCTCTCTATTGAGTATGTGACATGTATTCACTTTCAATAGCTCCAAAGGATGTCGAATAATTTTATCCTTTTCCTCGAAACTGATAGCATTTTCTTTAATTTTCTCAATGTAATCACCTCTCCTAAAACTTCCACAAACTGTTGGGATTACATCCTTGTTAAACTTCTCTATCTTCTTTAAGATTATTTCCTGAGAGGCAAGATAAGTTTAAGAAAAATTACTAGATGTGGAATGCATCGGTAGGAAAGAAGACTCACACTTTAAAAACAAACAGGTACATGAAAAGGATAGAAAAATCAGTAAGTGTACATTATTGATTGAGCGTGAGGTCAAGATGACCGAGTTCTCGTTTGATTTACGTTTTTATGGACCGAGACGAAGTAGAGGTCTATAAAAACGCAAAAAATTAACAAGGCTTATATCCAGCCATATTAACCGAACAAGCTTGGTCAATAAGGGATTTATATATAGCAAAAAGATTTAACTTTAGTAAGAATCAAGAATGACTTGTACATTTCGAGAGGCGGGAAATAAAGCCAACTGTGTTTGTAGCGTGAAAACCCACGGGAGTCATTTACGTTTCCTTTTCTTTTTTTCTTCTTTCTTTTTTTGTTTTTGTTTTTAATTGTCTTCTGTCGCTTTTTGCAACTCCATAGCCGACAACGTCCAAAAACTATGAACTCTGTAAGTCCACTCNAGCCAATCGCGGGTAGCCAATCGCGGGTAGCCAATCGCGGGTAGCCAATCGCGGGTAGCCAATCGCGGGTAGCCAATCGCGGGTAGCCAATCGCGGGTAGCCAATCGCGGGTAGCCAATCGCGGGTAGCCAATCGCGGGTAGCCAATCGCGGGTAGCCAATCGCGGGTAGCCAATCGCGGGTAGCCAATCGCGGGTAGCCAATCGCGGGTAGCCAATCGCGGGTAGCCAATCGCGGGTAGCCAATCGCGAGTAGCCAATCAAAAAAAATCATAGGAATTTGCTTCATAATGCCCACAGGCACTGCCAGCCGAATAATGAACTAAGAATATGAAATGCAAATTTTGGCTAAAATACGGAGAGTTTGAGGAAATGGTCACAAGACTACAAGTGAAAAAAAAACAAAACACATTATTATAAGGCTGGCTTACAATTACAAGGTCTAAGCTAACATGTTCTTTTAAGGAACTAGTGAAATCTAACATCAGGTTTTCTCAATCATTTCAGATCTGTCATCCTTATGTATTCACCTGAAGTTGCAGCATCTCATCCCTTGGTATACGCTTCTCAAATTGCTCAAGATATCTAATTTCAAAAATAGAAAAATTTCTCATAGCAAGGTTCCAATATTGAAGTTAACAACCTCTGAACTAAGTGAACGTATATGATTACAGTTTGCAAAATTGAAAGCAGAAATTCTCCAAAGGTAGTAACACCCTCAGGAGAAGTGACTCTCCGAAAGGTGCAATTCAAAATCAGTCAGAGCAATTTCTCATTTATACATTCTGGCACTTATGAATAAGAAACAATGTCATGTTTATCACACTTCTTTCAAAAAGTTGCCCTCAGGGAGCTATGTTCCACGATAACAGAACCCTCAGAAATAACCAAAATAGGAAAAGAACATTCTAAAGAGAATAACTTATTAGGGAAGATTGGCTAGTAACTTTGGTATGTTTGAGAAAATTGATTTTCCTAACTCATCTTATAGTCACGGAGACTAACAACAGGACTCGAAACTAACTTTTCAACTTACTAGCCAAGTGACTAGTGACATCTTAGATGTTACAACAATTTCAGTTTGTTTACTAACCAAACTGGCAAGTGGAAATCGAAAACCATTAGCCAAAACTGAGTTTCTATTAGTCTGTGGCTGGTTGGCTACCATTAGTGTCCAGCCCTGTAGCAACATCACCATCACATGACTTGTGTAGTAGTTAATTAACCAGCCTTTTTATAACTTTGTTTATTGAGTATTAACTTCAGTTCACATGTTACCTACTTGAGTCCAATCTTCTGATGGTGATTAAGACGTTCTTGAACCTTTTTCAGACCTAAAAGAAAAAAAAGTAATGGAACAGTATAAACTGTACACCACAAAGTGTGGTAGTTTCTAAAACCATGCAATCAATTAAGTATACATGACAAAAACTCTCAAAGTTGAATTATTGAAGAAGGAGTTCCCCCATTCTTCCTTAGGGCAATCCAAATTCAAAATCATTCGTTACATATCTGTCTATACAGAATCGAGGCTATTTTTATTCAGAAAAATATGAGTTTTTCATGAAATCTGAAAATAGCTATTCAGCTTACTGACCTCTGTTATTATTTGTGGTTACGTTTACCTTCCCTTACGACTGCACATACTTCAAACTAATTGCTTTAATAAAATTGACCGACATTAGGACATGGCAATGCATGATAGATCTGACTATGTCATTTCTGATTGATCATTAAGCACTGGCAGATGCTACACGTCAGCCTAGCACACTGCAGTTGTATCAGTCACCATACTTCAATTAAGCTCAAGCTACCTTCTACTGTTGCTACTCCATCTTCTACAAGCTTGCGTGCCACAGCAGGCCTGCAGAAGAAAAACAAAATGTTATCTTGAATTCACTGCATGCAGTTTTGTTGAGTTCCCTTCTGTGAACCAAAACTTTATTTAAAATGTAAAACATGAGCTCAGTGTTGTATTTACATTAATTGAAAATCACAAGTTACATTCCTAAAATAAGTTAAACTTTAAAACTGATCTAACTTCTCTAGCCAGCAATAATGTTTTACAGAAACAGTTACAGTACTGTGACTTACCCAATACCAGACACTCTTGTCAGCTCCTGTATGGCTTTTGTAGTGTCATCTGCTCTGATCTGAAAAACAATCAGTTTTGTCAAAATGATAAAAATCAATTAAAGTGACAGCTTTGTCTGAACCTGAGGAGCTTGGGATATGCGGATTGGCGTTGGAATGGTTCAGGTCGTATCTGGC